TAGGAAGTAGCCTGGATTAAATTGGCACAGGAGACCACTTCCTAAATATAACACCAATAGCACAGACACTGAGAGCAACAATTAATAAATGGGACCTCCTGAAATTGAGAAGCTTTTGTAGAGCAAAGGACATGGTCAATAAGACAAAACAATAGCCTATCGAATGGGAAAAGATCTTCCCCAACCACACATCTGACAGAAGGCTGATCCCCGAAATATATAAAGACTAAAAAAGCTAAATATCAAAATACTGAACAATTGAATTAAAAATGAGCTACAGAGCTAAACAGAGAATTCTAAACAGAAGAATCTCAAATGGCTGAAAGACATTTAAGGAATTAACATCCTTAGTCATTAGGGAAATGCAAATCAAACAACTCTGAGATACCATCTTACACCTGTCAGAATGGCTAAGATCAAAAACACTGAAGACAGCTTATGTTGGAGAGGATGTGGAGCAAGGGGAATACTCCTCCACTGTTGTTGGGAATGCAAACTTGTACAGCTACTCTGGAAATCAGTATGGCGGTTTCTCATAAAATTGGGAATAATTATTCCTCAAGACCCAGTTATACTACTCTTGGGTATATACCCAAAGAATGCTCAATCTAACCACAAGGACATATGCTGAACTATGTTCATAGCAGCATTATTTGTAATAGCAAGAACCCAGAAACAACCTAGATTCCCCTCAACTGAAGAATGGATAAAGAAAATGTGGCACATATACACAATGAAGCACTCCTCAGCAGTAAAAAACAATGATATCATGAAATTTGCAGGCAAATGGATGGATCTAGAAAATGGCATCTTGAGTGAGGTAACCCAGACTCAGAAGGACAAACATAGTATGTACTCACTCATTAGTGGATACTAAATGTGAGGGAAGGGATGGCCAGACTGCAACCCACAACTCCAGAGAGGCTAGCTAACAGGGAAAGACCCTAGGAGAGACACATGGATGACCCCGTGAAGGAGCAGTGGATGAGATCTACATGAGTGGACAGGGTGTGGGTGGCAGAGAGCAAGGAGTTGGGGATGAGAACATAGGGAAATGGGAGGGTCAAGCTGAAACAGGGACAGAGTGGGAGGCCAGGGAGGGCAATACCATGATAGATGAGGACATCATGGGAATAGGAAGAGGCAGGGTGCTGGGAAGGCTCTCAGTAATCCACAAGGTTGACCCCACCTTGGTCTGCTGGCAGTGATCCAGATGGTGCCTGGACCAGTCTACTCTGGTGACCAGCCTAGCAAATAATCTAGCTTTCATCATAGAGCTTTTGTCCAGTGACTGATGGAGGCAGATACAGAGATCCACAGCCAGGCACCAGACTGAGCTCCAGGAATCCAATTGATGAGAGAGAGGAGGGATGCTGCAGATAAGGGACATCAAGATCATGATGGGAGGATGTGCAGAGATGACTGGCCACACTAGTGGAAGCCCATGAACTGTGGACTGGTGGCTGTTGATCCCCCATTGGGCTGGACCAGGCCCTCTGGACACGGAAGACGGTTGTTTGTCTTGAAATATTTGGGTGGAACCCAGGCAGGGGGATTGGGATCTGTCCCTAGTACATGGGCAGGCTTCTGGGAAAACGGTGCCTGTGGTGTGACACCTTGTGTAGCCTTGGTGCAGTGGGAAGGGGCTTGGACCTGCCTAGGCTCAGTGAGCTGGGCTCTGTGGACTCCTCTTGGGAGACCTTGATTTGGGGGATGTGGGGATGAGGGGTGGCTTGGGAAAGAAGGCTGTGGGGTGGGAGGAGGGAGGAGG